GTGTTTATATTGGTTTCTTTTGTCGAGGGTTTGATGACCATGTACATCGATTCAGAGTATTCACACATACCTTTATGATGCCCATAATCTTCAATTGGCCAATACCGACTACTAATGATCATTAAAATTCCCATGTGATCGTATTTCGTATTGTAGTGCTAGACCTTTAGACGCCATTCATATTTCAATTCTTTGAAATATTCCATTTGTTATGGTTTCGTATACTCCTTAGCAAAGGTAGTGCATAAAATATTACCTTAAAGGTGAAATTCCAAAGTGTTCGCTTGCGGTTAACTAAAACAAGTGTTTCTCAACTCCCTTAGTATGTATTCCACCAAAGCTCATTCTCAATTTAAACCTTAGGCTTCACTGCAGTTCTTAAATTATACATTTACTTTGGCGATCTCACATTTACTTTAGTTTTATTGGGAGATTCATCTCGTTACAGGATCTTTAACTCGATAATTATTGGGTGAATCATTTTTGTCATGATTTGAATGTAATTCCTATTTACAAAGTTACAGAACTCGAAATTACCTCTTTGACCTATTAATATAGCAGAATAGCTCTAACAAGAGAATGCAAGTGTTAGAAAGTCTTCGATTTGATAGCTTGAATGGAACTTACTTTGTAAAGCTTGGACTCACTAAAAAAAGCATCAAAATTTCCAAATAAAAATACTCTAATCTCAAATAAATAATGAAAGTAGTATAAAGAAATAGAGATCGATCCACAGGGACTAAAGAAGTCTGAATAATTTTCTTGTTTCAATCCTTGGGTTTTAATTGCAAAAGTAAAAACGAGGGCCTTAAAAATATGAAATAATAAAATAATAAAAATAAATAATGATCGGAAAATGGTGAGAAAATAAATAAAGTAGATAAGGTAGAAGAATTCAATAGAGATGATATAGCCTTAAGCTTTGCTTAGCCTCAAGTTCAGTTGATCATCGAAATCGAATTTTTCCTTCGTGGTCTACTCCAGTTACAGTTAACAGATCCCAAACCCTATAGCTAACTGTTCTTTCCAACTAATCAAAATTTCTAAGTCTATCTCCAAAATTTGGTCCTTGTTGGTCTAACCATTCTATCGTTGTTAGATCCAAAATAACGTTTATGTTTTTGAAAAGCTTGACTCGAGTTATAGCGTCTCACTAGAATCAAACTTGATTTTGATTCTACTTAGTAGACCACCACTAAGTTTGTTCACGGGAAGTTGAATTACGACTAACCAATTTGACTTCCAAACTTCAAGCAAAAACAGACTTGAATTCAACGTGCACTTTTTGAGTTAAAGATGTAGTGACTTTTAAGGGAATGAACGATTGTCATTCCTAGTTTCCAAAGAATCAAAGAATATAATATGAAGGTGAAGACCCAATTCTCACGATTAGAATTGAGATTCCCAATAAGCCTTTGGCTAAGTGAAAGTTTAGCTAATCATGAATTGGATCATGCTTAGCATTGTGGAAAGAAAATAATGATAGAAAATTGAAGATGAAAGAAAAACATAACTTCATTAATTAACTAAGGAAAAATAAATTTCAATCTGTCTTCCAACTATTAAACCTAAGGGGTATTTATAACCCGAGTTTTCTAAGTAAACAAAATAAATAATTCCTATATAAAATATTATAATAAAGATAAAAATAATCAAATTAAAAATCCTATCGAGACTATTAAATAAAATAACTAATTCCTAAATAAAATATAATAATAAAATAATCAAATTAAAAATCCTAAATTATAAAGGTTTATCACAAAAGATGAAAATAAATATTTGAGTTTTGTAGTTCTAGTTGAATTTGCTTCATTTTCTAGATAAACTTATCCCAGGTAAATTCCAAATTAAATATTCAAGAGGATTTCGCTTGTCTTCTAGAAGATGCTGACTGGACTGTAAAAATCAGTTGAATTTTTAGACTAATTAATATCCAAAAATTTCCAAGCGATAAATGAGGAGTAAATAATAGTAAAAATATGCAATTTTAAAAATTTATCAAAATTCCCTTACTTATTCATTGCTTGTCCTCAATCATACTTCAATTCAACACACTAAGTTTTTCATTTACCTTCCATCATCTCATTTCACATCTCAAAATACCAAAAAAGTCAAGTACACATCAAATATTCGAACCAAAATAACAATCAAGTAGAAAAGCATGAATATGATAAACTTATAGAAAAATCAAAACATCCCATTAATCCATTAATTTCAAATGCAACAAGAATTAACACCCTCGCATGGATTCACTCAATGCTCTCAAAATGTTTAGGGTGTAATCAACTGTCAAACTTAGAATATAACAAAATATTATCATAGGCCTAAGGCTATGGTAAAGATTAGTAAAGAGGATCGAAAAAAATTAAGGCTTAAACTTACAATTTTATCTTAAAAAGACAACCGATACTCGATTATGGCTTGACTCTCTAAGTTCTAGTGGTGTCCGCCAAGCTGTCGCAACGGGACTTCGGGTGGACCGGGATCGAATCTCGACTTAAAATGAATGATTTAACTTTTTGGAGTTGTCATCAACCTTTTTGGGTAGGTAAGTTCAAATACATTAAATTACATTTCTTACTAGATATACGTCTTATCAGAGATTTATGTGGAAGGATTCAGAAGTCGATTACGTGTGCGGAAGGATGAGAACCCCAATATCGTCCTTTCGGTATCACCACCGTTACAAGTTGTCTTAATAGTAAAAAACTAAAAAAAAAATTAGACCAAAATTTAAAGAAATTATCCATATTACTTACCTTTTAAGAGTTTATTACTGAAAAAATAAATAAATTAGAGATTTAAAAATAAGATTAGGTCTAATCTATAAACATAAGGTAAAAAAAAGTCACAGTTACCGATATAAAAGAAGCATACATAAAAATAGAACTAATACTAAAAATATGAATATACAAACCTTAAAAGTCACATACAATAAATATGAAAAAATAAATATAAATAAGATAATTTAAAAATAAATTAAAAATAAACTTTTATTATATTAAAATAAAATGAAAATAAAATAAAATATAAAATATATTAAATGTAATAAAGAAAAATCAAAAGTTGAAACAATTCGGGAAAAAAAGGAACATGACCGAAACAAATTAAAAATATAAATCAAAATAAAATGGAAACAAATCCAAATCAATTAAGAAAACAACTGCATCAAATCAAAATAGAAATCAATGAAAAGAGAAAATATAATAAATTAAAGAGGCAAACGAAGTTTTGAGCAAATTAAAAAAAATTAATTTGTAATTAAAATTGAGGTTATTAATAAAAGTAAAAAAACCTTAAAATAAAATTAAAAAAAGTAAATCTATATTGAAATAAATACCGATCTACGATTTTTATTGAAAAACCTTCAAGAAAACTAGATATAAAAAATACTATTTGATAGTCCTTTCTTGTTCACCAATTTTCTCTCATCCAATAAATTTTTAATTAAGATAGGGTCAAAGTCAACCGAAATAACACAAATTTAGGCAAAATAAAAAAATACCATCCGGCAAAATTTATTTTTTATGACTCCTCTATTTTATGTTCTTTTTTTTCCCGCTCTCTCACCAAAAATTAAGATAGGATGGCGTACGTTAAGTCTTCTCTCTCGGTGCATGTTAGCAAGACTAACAGCGATTGAAGACGAGTCATCCTTTCCTTCTGATTTCTCGACTAGATTGAATTTCTTTTGATTCTGCTTGCGATTTGGGGGTTTTGTTGGCGATGCCTACGGGATCTGCAACTGATTGGAGAAAATTGTTTGCGGCGGGCAATGAGCAAGAATTAGATTTCTTCCCTCCAACGGAGATTGAGGGTTCGCTTATTGTGAAACCTCCGAAGCACATATTCGAGGAGGGGATCTTAGAATGGAGGTATGCTCTTGTTGGGCAATTTATAGGCTCAACTCCCAATTTTGGGTTGTTGCAGAAGACGATTGACCTGATGTGGAACAAGGCTGCTCCGGTGAAGGTGAGCATTGCGGGATCCAATCTTTTTGTTTTTTCTTTTACTGGTTCGTATGCCAGGGACTGGGTTTTAGAGAATGGTCCCTGGCATATTCAACACAAGCCTCTTTTCCTTAAGAAGTAGGAGCCGAATTTGAAGGAGTTGCACTTCTATTTGGATCGCATGCTAATTTGGTTTCAGCTCTTCAATGTCCCCTTGGATTTATTTTCAAAGAGCGGTTTAAGCTACATTGCAAGTGCAATTGGTAAGCCTCTTCACATGGACTCTATTACAGCTTCTAGGGAGAGATAGGAGTTTGCTAGGGTTTGTATAGAAATTTTTGTAAATTCTAAGATTCCAGATTACATAGATGTGTTACTTTGCGATGATTCTATTTCCCGAATTAAGGTTGTTGTTCCTTGGAGGCCTTCATCTTGTGTGGAGTGTAAGAGATTTGGGCATTCTGTTAAATTCTGCCCTCTGGGGAAGAAGAAATAATGGAGGGTAAAGCAAATAGTACATGAAGCTAAACTAGATGATACTGTAAATACTAGTATAGTTGAGGCTGAGAAGCAAAATCCTATAGTAGATCCTGGAGGTAGCATTTAGACTGAGCAGATTGATCCATGTAATTCTAAAGGTGTTGTTGATACTTGTTTAGACAAGGCTCAAGCTGCTTCAGGGGATGGAGCTAAAGATGGCACTAAACAGATCACTCAGGAGGGTCCTCCTGGTAGCAACCCCCCATTGAAGCGTGGAAGAGGTAGGCCAGGTAAAACTACTATGGGGGGCTCCAAGAATAAATTTGAGATTCTGGCCTCCATTGATCCTGAACATTTGCAGCCGGTTGAGGACTCGGGTAAGAAGCAACGAGCAGCTTCGCTTGGGGTGGCTAAACTGGTCCAGGATTTGAAATTAAAGAAGAAGGAGCAGGTTGACAAAGTTATGAAGCTGGAGGATAGAGGTTGTGCCTCTTCTTCCCTAAATCCCTTATGTTAATTTACTACTGGAATGTTCGAGGATTTAATAATCCTCGCAAGCAAGGTAAAGTGATGAGGTGGGCTGCGAATTGCCAAATTGATGTTCTCTTCTTATTGGAAACTCGAAATAAGTTTGATAGCTCTTTGGCTATTCTAAGTCAAAATTTTAGTGATTGGGAAGCTTGCTGTAATTATAATCATGCTGCCAACGGTCGAATTTGGGTTCTCTGGCGCAGATGTATGGATTGCTCAGTTGTTTCTGTTTTTGACCAATGTATTTCTGTTAGATGTGCTATTGGGGGTAACACTTTTATTCTTATTGCTGTTTATGGTTTGAATGAGGGAAATGGTAGGAGGCAGTTATGGAGTCAACTCAACTCTCTGGAATGTACTGTGGGAGATCTTCCATGGCTTATAGGTGGTGACTTCAACATCATCTTGAATGTCGAGGAAAGCTCGGTTTATGTTAGTTCCTCGACTTTGGTTGACAGTTCTGAATTCCAGAATTGTGTGGATAATTTGGGGATTTTTGATCACCCCTACAATGGTCCTTGCTTCACTTGGTCAAATAAACAGCAGGATACTTATTTAGCTCGTAAGCTTGATCGTGTCATGATAAACCCAAGGTGGATCGATGTTTTCCCAGATTCTGCAGTGGAGTTTCAGGCCCCTGGGGACTCGGATCACTGCCCTGCCTTTGTGTGGCTCCACAAGGCAGCCCCTAGTGCAAGGCCAAAGCCGTTCAAATTTTTCAACTTTTGGGCCTTGCACCCGGGGTTTTTAAACATTGTGAGAGATTCTTGGCAGCAACCAATGGCTGGAAATCCAGCTCAGGTTTTGTTCCAAAAATTGAAGAGGTTGAAGTGCTCTCTCAAGGCTTTAAATAAAGCTCATTTCAATGACATTTCAAATAATGTGAAACAGAAGCGAGAGGAACTCCTTAGTATTCAGCTTGCTAATCTTTAATGGGGTTCTGCTGGCAGCAGCATTGAGAATGAACTTCAAGTAGAAAGGGAGCTAAAAAATCTTGAAGAGGCTGAGTTACTATTTTACAAACAAAAAGCTAAAGCCAATTGGATCAAGGAGGGTGACCAAGGGACGAAATTCTTCCACTCAGTAGTGGCTAGCAGAAGAAAGAGTAATACAATCAGAGTTCTCTATGACCAAGCGGGGAATAGATTGGACTCTTTTGATGGTATTTCGGCTGAGGTGATTAAATTTTTCCAGAATCAGCTGGGTTTGGTAGATGATAATGTCCTGGGCAGCACTGTTTCTACTATTAGGGGTCTTCTTAATTTCTCACTCCCTACAGGCGCTGACGGTGAACTGTGAAGAGATGTTTCTGATGCTGAAATTAAAGAAGCCATTTGGGGGCAAGGCAATGATAAATCTCTTGGGCCCGATGACTTTAATCCCTTCTTCTTCAAGAAAGCTTGGTCCATAGTGGGTGTGGATTTTGTTGCTGCTATCAGGTATTGCTTTGACATATCTTTTATTCTCCCTGCCTTTAATGCCACTGCTGTAGTCTTGGTTCCTAAAGTGCCAAATCCTAGCCTTGTCAAGGACTTCAGGCCTATATCATACTGCACAGTGATATATAAGACCATTACAAGGATTTTAGTGAGACGATTGTCTACTGTGTTCCCTAGCATGGTTTTAAAGAATCAAACTGCTTTTGTTAAAGGTAGGAGTATAGTGGATAATACCCTCCTTGCCCAAGAGGTTGTTAGGGGCTATAGTAGAAAGAACATTTCCCCTAGATGTGCCTTGAAGTTGGATCTATAAAAAGCGTTTGATTCTCTCAATTGGGATTTCTTAGTTGTTGTTCTCACTGCTCTTGGCCTTCCTGCTAGATTTATTAGCTGGATTTCTGCTTGTTTTACCAAGCCTAGCTATTCGATTGTAATAAATGGCAGTTTAGTTGGTTATTTTAGGGGGGATCGTGGTGTTAGGCAAGGTGACCCCCTTTCACCTTATCTCTTTGTGCTTTCCATGAATGTATTATCAAATCTATTGAACCTGGCTGCTCTTAAGGGGATTTTCAATTATCATCCCAAGTGTAAAAGGATTGGTTTAACCCATCTTTGCTTTGCGGATGATCTCCTCATCTTTTGCGAGCCCTCTGTTGACTCTATTAGTGGTGTCAAAGCTGTTCTGGAAGTTTTCAATCTCATGTCTGGGTTGAAGCTCAATATTAACAAAAGTGAGATTTTTGTAGCGGGGTTAACTGCTGCTCAATGCACTGCCATCAGTGAGGGCACTGGTTTTAAATTAGGCAAACTCCCTGTTCGCTACTTAGGAATTCCTTTGGTGACTAAGAAGCTCATGGAGAGAGACTGCCTTAGTCTCATTGATAAAATCAGAGCTAGGTTGACCTTGTGGGAAAATAAACATTTGAGTTTTGCTGGTAGGCTCCAGTTAGTGCGTTCTGTTTTGTTCAGCCTAACTAATTATTGGTGTAGGCAAGTTATGCTTCCTCGGGGGGTAATCAAGAAAGTTGAGCAGTTATGCTCTCGGTATTTCTGGAAGGGTGCTGATCTTTCTGCTAGGGTGAGCTGGAGAAAGATCTGTCTTCCAAAGTCTGAAGGGGGCCTTGGTGTTATTGATATACAAGGATGGAATAGGGCTTGTTCTGTGAGGTTGATTCGAAACTTATTGGCTGATGAGGGTTCCTTGTGGGTGGCTTGGACTCGGTCTTATGTTATTAAAAATGCAAATTTTTGGCATATGGTTCCTCCTACTGATGCTAGCTGGAATTTCAAAAAGCTGTTAAAGATGAGGCATTCAGTTAATCATCTCTTTGTTAACCGTGATTGTGCCCTCAGTACTAGGCAGATATGGGAGGACTTGCGCATCGTGGCTCCAAAGGTTGCTTGGCATCATCTGGTTTGGTTTTCCGGGCGCATCCCTAAGCACAACATAATTCTGTGGATGGCCATTTTGGATAGGCTTCCCACCCGGGTTAGACTGATGCGAATGGGACTAGTAATAGAGAATGATCGATGTCTCTTCTGTGATTTGGTGCCTGAGACTAGAAATCACATTTTCTTTGAATGTGATTATGCTAAAAGCCTGTGGAAGGCCATCCTTCTGCTCTGTGGAGTTAACCGAAGAGTAAGCCACTGGGAAGGCGAGCTTTCATGGGCTGCTCACTTCCTTAAAGGAAAGTCCCTCCTCACGAGAGTGTTTAAGCTTCCTTTGACAAGCTATGTGTATGTCATATGGAGAGAAAGGAACAACAGACTGTATGGTGGATTACTTAGGCTGATGAGTGATATCCTGCTGAGCATTAAAACTGATATCCAGATTCGACTCGATGGTTGGCCAATTAACAGAAGTGACTCTAGGAACATTGCCCTTTGTGTTAGCTGGGGTATTTCATAATTGTGATGTTGTTTTCTCTATTCCTTGTTAGCCTTTGTTTAGCCTTTGTTTTGCATCTGTTCTCTTTGGTAATGCTTTGCTATTAGATGGATGATGTGTTGTAATGAGTTGGTTTTTTTTTGTAGCAGAATTCTGCTTTCTTGGGTAATGAAATTGATTATCCAAAAAAAAAAATTACATAAGGAGAGTACTTATTTGTAGGCCTTAAAAAATTTAATATATTTTCATTAATGCTAGATACATCAATTAAAAGAAAAGAAAAATAATAAAAAATCTTAAATTACTTAAAATAAATAATGGAAATTTTAAAGCTCAATTTAATTGCAAATAATCAGTAGAATAATTGTAATTTGTAATAAATTACAATTCATATATTAGGCCAGTCTTCAATTTTTTGCACACGTAGTCTTCGCTAAAATAAGTATATCTAGAGTTCTCGATTTCCGATTGAAGCATTTCAAAATGTGTTGGAAAGCTAACTAAAATTTGATTATATTTCAAGAAGACATCATGCCTTGAAAATGTTCGAATTGCATCCAAAAATTCGTTGTAAGTCAACTGATGTATTGAGCTTTAAAATTTACTTCAATTAAAATATTTGAGTCATAAAAATGATAGACCACACAAAAATTGGATAATACAAGTGTTATTTATACTTTACTTTTATTTTATTTTATTATAATTGGGTATATTACGGTTTAATACCTAAATTATCATTTTTGATTTATTTTAGTATTTAAAATTTCATTTTTTCAAAAGCATACCTAAAGTTTAGTTTTTCTTTTATTTTAGTATGATGTCGTTAAAAACTTTAGTTTTTGTTTCATTTTAGTACCCCCTTTCAAAATTTAACATTAAATTTTGAAGAAAAAAATAGTAAGTTTAGGTACTAAAATGAACCAAAATTGATAGTTTAGGTACTAAACGCGTTAAGTTTTTAACAACATGGTACTAAAATGAAATGAAAACTAAATGTTAGGTATGATTTAAAAAAATGAAAGTTCAAGTACTAAAACGGATCAAAACTGATAGTTTAAGTACTAAATGCGTAAATTACCTTAAAATCACATAAATGAATAGCATAAAAAGACATTAATGTCATGGATAAAAAACATAAAAATTGAATCAACATTAAATAATTTAATTAAAGTGAAATTGATAAGATTGAACGAATTAAGTTTCCTCAGTAGTTGAGGGTTGATTGTTATCTCTAAATGTTTTTGGTTTGAACAACAACCATTACAGGGTATTTAAGTGTTCAGAGTCTCTAGAACAAATTACGTGATAATATATTTATATCTTTAGAATTCAATGTAGAGACACTAATTTTTGATGTTTTAAAATTATATTTGTTAAGACAATCTCAATATAAACTATTTCGTATTGAAAATATATTTATATATATTTTTCTGTACATGTCCCATAATAATTTCGAATTCAGTAGTAGATAGCTTGATAGGGTCGTTTACGCTACTACGAAGTTGCTTTGCGGTGATAGTATTGTCATAAATCAATAGAAATTTGCATATCAAATATGTGTATGCTTTAAAAGAGAGGAAAGAAGGCAAGGCAAGGCAAGACATGCTTGATTGCTTCACATGTAAAGGTAAAAACCCGAGTCGAGGTTTTCACTTTCCCCCCTTTATCAAACTACAATGTACTTTGCCGTATAATTGGTGTCGTCCCTTTTGTTCAAACATAAATCAAAATGAAAAATTGCGATTATTCTTCTCTTTCTTATCATTTGCAGGATGGGTTGGTACGAGCTACTATGGATAGGAAGGCTGCTTCTTCTTATGCAATTGGTTCATGGTTGGGGAAAACTTGGTCATTATGCTGTTTGCAAGATTGCTGAGGTATGATTATGCAATTGCTTCTTCTTTAGTCAAAAGCTGCTGACCATTTCATCTGATTATGCGTTTCTTGATCCTTCAGGGGCATCTTACTGAAGATGCCACGGCTACTGTCAAACAACTGCTCCCAGATTCTGCTAAAGGTGAGCTTGCTTCTGTATGTTCATGGCCTGATCACATCAAATATTACTACAACTGGCAGTGGACAACCTCCTTACACTATGTTGACACCCCAAATTTCAAGTGCAACTACAAATACATCCGTAAGTGTTTCGGTTCTACTGTCCATCATAAATATTTTAAGAGATATGAAGGGTCGTGGTAACCTTTCTTGTAGGAGACTGCTATGATTCTGCTGGGCACAAAAATAATTGTGTGACAGGAGCAATTTTGAACTATACAAAGCAACTCCTTACATCATATCAGAGATATAATCCCATGTTGAAATGTAAGCACTGTTCATGCATATACTCCTGGAGTTGCACTAGAAATAATAATACAAGGTTTATTTATATATGCTCTCCTTTTTGTTTGTGACAGACAATTTGACAGAGTCACTCTTGTTCTTAGCTCATTATATGGCGGATGTGCATCAGGTTTTTACTCATATCACATACATGGGAAAATCTAGAAAGCATTAATCATATAAATATTAGATATATATTTATATTAAATACATATATATATGTTATTTTTTTTATTACAGCCATTACATGTTGGCTTCACAGGAGATTTAGGTGGGACTAGTATTAAAGTTCGTTGGTATCGTAGGAAGACAACTCTGCACCATGTGAGGTCTTCGTTACCCCCTTTCCATTTTTCACATCGATAAGTAGTTAGATGTTGTTAAAGAAGATCAATGGTTAAACAATGATTTAATCTTTCTTCTACGTTCAAATTCGAGATTTAGTCCTTATATTTTACTTTAAACTATTTTGGTCTTTTTAAATATGATACGTGTGAGAGTATTTGAATCTAGTAAACAAGTTCCTTGTCCAATGTTACATATCCTTTGTACCAACAGTTGGTCTAGTGAGATGATACACTAGATCCCTTAGACAAAGCCGGAAGTTTAATTGCAAATGGAGAAAATTGGGTTGGGGGAGAGTCACCCTCGCCTATGCAATATCCGATCCAAATTAGTTGATTGATAGATTGAGTATCGGTATTTGGGTACTCAATGTTACATATTCGTTTTTAACAAGATGGCCAAAGAATGGATTTGGGTAAAAAAGGTGCTAATGAACTTGTGTGTGAGAGTGTTTAAATTCATGTGTTTTTGTGTTACTGCATCCATATACGCAATATTATTATGTACTATGGTTATTCCAGGTATGGGATACCATGATTATTGATACTGCAGTGAAGACATTCTACGGCTCGAATCTTTTAATTTTTCCAGGTGTGTGAGAGTGTTTAAATTCTTTTTCACCGCTTTGGGTTTTAAATGTGATAGTTGATTGGTGCCTGTACTTCTTATTTCATCCATAGGATGATGCTTGGACCAATGAAAAATCATCATGGAAATACTGCATACATAACAACACAGTTTGTCCTAACATGAAAGTGTATGCCACAGTTTATTCTTTATCATATAAAGTATGGTATTCATGATTATACTCGTATCTAACACATACCCGAATCTGAATAACATCGCATTATTCTTAAATTGCTTCGATATACAGATATGCTTCTGAAAGTGTTAGGTTAGCATGTAAGTATGCATATAAGAATGCCACACCTGGAAGCACCTTAGAAGGTATTTGTTATTTCCTCTTTCTACTGTTTTCTTGTTCGATAATTAAAGGCACTTATGAAACTTGATCTATGTATCAAAATAAAACAATGAAAATGAATGCAAGCATTCGTGGTTCGCTTTGGTCCATGGAATTAGTATAGAATTATAATTCGTTAATTTTATCGTTTGTGATTCGTTGGAAGTGATTTTCTTTGGATCAAATTTTTAGAATATGAATCGTAATGCTTTTTTTTTATTTGCTGATAAATTTATTTTTATAATTTTCCATATATTAAACGGTGAAAGTATATAATTTTTTTAATAATTATTTGAATTATTATAAAATTAAAGGATTAAATTTATAATTAAAATAAATATCTTTAACAGCGAGAGTACAATTGTGACATCTTAGCTTTACTTTTCTGTTTCTCTTGATATACTTCTGCTCTTTCCTTATCTTCCTTTCTGTTCATTCCCCGGAATATCAATCAAAAGAAATTGTCGATTCCACCGCTAAGGCTTGGAAAGATCGACCCTTACACGTCTTTCCACCTCTTCTCCCACTGAACTCTTCCCCTACTTTTGTTTCCTTTTCTTTTGCTGTGCTAAGTATGCGAACGAACTTCGAATTGGAATAAACGAATTTAAACGAGATTCGTGGGGTGAGGGGCGAAATAGGTAACATTGGATCCAAGTCCAAAATTGTTGCAGATAAATAGCCGAGTTGCTCTTGGCTCTATCAGCTGGCTTAAACATGACCGAATTACTGACCTTTATTCCTTCTACTATATCAACTCTAGTTCACTATTTGATACCATTTCTTATATTATTATGCAATCTGCCATGGTTGGCAATGGCTGAGATAAGGCTATATGAAACCAGATTAGCTAATCTTAACAGAAATTCTGCATGGTATTCTTTTAACACAAACTTCATAATTTTGCTCCATAGATGATTATTTCCTCTCTCGGTTGCCCGTCGTGGAGAAAGGGCTAGCTCAAGGTGGGATTCGCCTCGCCTCTGTGCTCAACCGGCTGTTTAATTTCCGAGTGAAAATGGGTCGATCTTCAAGATAAAAGACCAGAGATGCATCTTTAAATGCCGTAAGCTCCATTGTAATACACACTTATTGCTCATACAGCCACTGCTTTATATATGCCAAACCTATGTATCGTTCATCCCTTTGTCAACTTGTTCAAGAATACATAATTAACTGTACACACTATGCAAAAGATGAAAACATGAGTAAATAGGGATATAATAAAAATTATTAAATAATCATGTGCATCAATTGAAATAAGTTTTACAGTAATTATTAAATAACTGTACACTCTATGCAAAAGTCATATAAATTTAAATTGAAAGACAATTAATACAAAACTAGAAAATATGATAATAAGAAGTAAATATGCATAATAAGTTTCACACCAAAACCATTAAGGAGGCCTACAAATACATATGCCACTAGAAGTATTAAATTATTGTATTATGATTAAACGTCGTTAGAACATCCTTGAAGATGTCGCCACCCTGACTCAAACTCAGATCTAAAATATGACCGCGAAAAATAATTCAAAACGTTTAACTTAACAAAATTCAGCGGTATATACATTTTATTATACTTCATGAAGTTCATAAATGTAAGGCATGTAAGCCACAATACAAACAATAAATAATTAGAAAGTTTATCATATATTATAAATCAGTTAATCCTTTACTTAGCTATACATAAGAACATACACACGTACGATTTCCAACATTTATACACAAAATGTATTTATACCGTAATTATCATTTCTAATGTATCTGTCACTTGTTCATCAAGTGTACCATAATATAATAGTGCATGTATGTCATGATTAATAATCGGGTATCATGTAGTCCGGCGCCACTAAGGCTAAACATATAATATCAAGTGCTCCAATCAGTACACTCGCGCCACTAAGGCTAATATATAATATCAAGTCCTCCGATTAGTAAACTCGCACCACTAAGGAGGCATAGTAAATTAGTTCCCTTAAAGTTATGTATCATAGTAATGTTACCATTAAGGCCATTCATCATAACATCACCGCTCAGATTACGAGAATGATTACACATTAGCAAATCAATGGTGGAATATTTTGAACGAGATTGACAGGCAATCTCACACATTCTCTTTGGTGCAATTCATGTATGTGCAAAGAGAGCGAAACAGAATGGTGAATTATCTAGCAAAACAAGGACTATCTCGTCAAGCTCTGTTAAAAGTATTGAGTTGTCATAATGTAATCCAATGGAATACCAATATTTTTGATATTTTTTGTCTATGATTTAATGGAATTCAGGGGAACGTTAACCTAGTTGAGGAGTTCTCCTTTTCTCCATTAGATTTAGGGAGTTTTTTGTTCAATTGAAATAAGGCCTAGAAAGACTAAACTAATGAAGGTTTCCTTGTGTCTAACTTTATCAAATGTTCAATGCCAAATGGGGGAGTATCAAAGTAACATATTTTGGACAATCTTGAAGGAGCCAACTTAGCAACACCATCTACGATAGAATTTTCAGAATGTGGAACCCAACGTAAGCGAGTCTCCCATGCATAGCAACGCAAGGCTGCTATAGTTCTGGATAGCGAAAGAGGACTATTCGCTACATCTTTTTCATTAACCAGCTTTATTGTTTGAGCACAATTCGATTGTATCTCCCATCTTGAAACTCGTTGGTCTCATGTCATGTGATGACCTTCATATACCCCACATAACTCCTCATGAAGAATTGAAGATATATTGAGGTTTTTGCTGAAACCTAGTATCCAAGTACTATTCAGATCATGTAAAGGCCCACCAGCTGTGCCCACCTGACTCAATGATTCAATGCCTCCATCACAGTTCAAACAAAACCACCCATTGAGGGGTCTAGATCATCTACACCTTCCACGTGGAACAACAGCAACACTAGCTACATTTGGAGGCTGGTATTCAAAGTAATGTGCCCAGCTATATACGCATTGGAAGATCACAAATAGCAGCTGAGTTACTCCACTGAAAATTTCATCATTTCGACGCTTCCAAATCTGCCAAAGAAGCGATGGAAAAAGAAGAAACTAGGATAACTCAAAACCTTGTGGGGCAATTGTTTTCGCAAGATTTGTAATTAGACAAGGCACAAGATCAAAAGAGAAAAAGTTGGTAGCACTCTGAGGGGGTAAAATACCTTGCCAAAACAATCGCACCTCTGTGCAGTCATGCAAGACGTGTAGGGCTGTTTCATGGGGAGAATCATAAGAGAGACAAGAAGGATTCGATGCTATTTTTCTACGAGTTCATTCACTGTTCATCATGAGCTTTTGCTTAATCGAGATCCAAAGAAAAAGGCGAAGACGTTGCAGTACTGGAAGTGTCCAGATGAACTTCCATATGCTATTGGGATCACACCAGCAACCTTCTGATAATTTGCAATAAGCTTAATTAATACTGAAGGCATTTGTATCAGTCCATCGCCACTCGAAGGAATCACCTATATCCGTAGGATGAAGGGGTTCGGATACTTGGAATATGAGCTAGTGCCATTGGGGGTAACAAGTGAGGATAAAGAGTTCATATCCCAATGGCCATCAGGAGTTGCAAGAGTCTGTACTAACAAATCTTCACTGACCAAGGAGGAGTCAAGGGCATGGTCGCGCAATGGCCTTAGAGAAGGCACCCATTTGTCCTCCGAAAAGCAGTAAGAAGACCCATTCCTGACGGACCATTCTAGGCGTGGCAGGAAAGAGCTCCAAGCTTTTGTTGATCTACGCCAAAGAGGAGAACAAATCGATTGAAAAATAAAAGACGAACAAGGTTCAGAGACCTTGTACTTTTGCTAGAGTATTTGAACCCAATAGGCATACTTGTTTGTGAGAATATCAAACCAAGCTTCATCGTAAACACAACATTCTTCTCATGAATACGAGTGACACCAAGGCCACCCCTTTCTCTCGGTTGGCACACAACTTCCAAATTAATGAGTGAAGCTTTCAGGGTTGAGTTGGAAAAATCCCATAAGAATTTTCGAATACACATCTCAATGTCCATGCAAACCTATTTCGGGAGAGACATGGTTTGCATGAAGTAAATAAGGATTGCACCTAGCATTGATTGAGTGAGGGTGAGACGATCGACTAAAGATGGCGTTTGAGCAGCCCAACCTGAAAGTTTACCACGAATCATGTCTACAATAAAGGAGTAGTCTGCAGTTGTTGATTGCTTGTGGAGCATTCGCACTCCTAAGTACTTGCCCAGAGAATCAACATCTCAAAATCCACTCTTAGCCACAATTGCAGTTCCAGTAGCAATATTAGTAGCAGGAGAGAAGTAGATATGTGTCTTTTCCATACATAACATTAGAAAAAAAGGTGATTATCCGTAAATATCCGTAAGGTTGAAAGACTTTCATGATAAAGAAAAGTTTCCTAAACAAAGAAGAAAATCATGCGGATGTGCGAAATTGGTCTAAAGCAAAGAAAAAAGAGTAAGGGGATATTCTACCAAGGCACTATGTGTCAGAACTGTCTAATTACACACTGTTGGGACCGTCGGCGCACCCCATGACACAAAGGAAACAAAACTCGATGGTCTCACCAGCGATCCAAGTACGAAAAACTGAAATCGGGAGGAAGGGATGCGAATACTTACAGCGGGTTCCTTGAAAAACAGCAAGGACAACAATGAATACTGGCGATATAGATCGGTTCGAATCGTAAGCCTCCACGAAATCACGTCTTGGCCTCTACTCAGCTCACCCGATTGAGAGCAATATTTTTCTTCCCCAAAACAGTTTTGAGAGAAAAACGGCTGAAGGTTTTGTCTGTGTGTTCTAAAACGGCTGCTAGACCTAACATACCCTTTTATAGCCAAGTTATCCTAATAATATTAGGGTTTTATTATTTAAGATTAATTAAATATATATTTAATTAATTAGAATTTAATAATCCTTTTATATCCAAGTTACCCTAATCATATTAGGGATTTTATTATTTCAAATTAATTGAAATTAAATATTCAGAATTATTAAAACATATATTTAATTAACTCTAGATATATATTTTAGTAACATACAACAAATTGTACATCTTTGCTCGTTTCAATCATAAGGTGTGACCTTGTAGGTTCTTGTAACGTTAGTAGTGATTATTAGAACAATTCTAATATTACATACAATGAGTGACATCTAGCAATATATCATTGTCACCTAAGTTACAAGAAAATATGATTCGACATATCATCTTAGTGATTAACTATTTTATATATTACATCCTTATGTCCTTTATATCTAGAATAGGCACAAGTCTTGGAATAGTCACACTTGTATAGCCCATCTATTGTTTCTTGATATCTAGAATAGACTGTAATTAACGAATAGTTTATGATATCTCATATCAACTTATTCGACCATGGCCATGCGTTTCTAGTCTTACTCAATCAAGTGGTTTGTGATATATTTTCTATTATGTAGGAAGGAAAAATCCTATCTTAATCATACACACCCACTACATATATTGAGATATATTCAATAACAGTCTTTATAGAGCAACCAGTTACGGAGCTTGTTTAGCTGCATCAAAACATACAACAATATATGTTGGGATAGTATTGATCTCAAGTCTGAGGATCAGACATATAGTCATCACCATGAGCAATGTTATGACTGTCACATAATAATCCAAGACATATGCTCATGGTCAGTCAATCCAATACATTGTTCTCTAACAATATAATCATGTATCAATTCTGACATCTCTATGTTAATGACAACTCGTTATCATTAATCAATAACTTGTTAGTCTTAAACGTATTATTATTGTCCATGCCCATAATAATACTTGACTAGAGATCTTTTAATAATAACAATTATGTCATTATATGGACTTTATTATCTTCCAGTTTATGTTAAACACATATATATATAAATGAAAATAATAGCGGCAATGCCTTTATTCAATAAAATCGATAAATAAAAGTATTATTACAATCATCATATGATTGGACATTGGGTATACTCTAACAATCTCCCACTAGCACTAAGACCAATCACTCACATATCTAATACCGAGTGA